GAGCAGACTGGTACTTGAGCTATGTTGGGAAAGAGACTTTCATGACAGAGACCTGGTTCTTGAGGTGTCTGCTTCTGAAGATGAGCAGGGCTCAGAGATTTCTCTCTGACCCGATCGCCAGTGAGGAGACGTGTCTTTTCCCAACAGAATTCACATTTTGTAATAGGTTTATTAGTTTTTCCTGTTTGGGTGAGGGTGGGACTGGATTGGTGGGTAGGTCTAGCCATCAGTGATGTACCTACCTGTCCAGCATCCTCAGCATGGGAGATGGAAATTCATGATTGGAGTTTGCTAAAGCTTCTGCTTCTGGCTAGGGAAGGGGAAGGGTATTGGCTCTTGTTGCTGCTGAAACCCAGTTTTCTCCTCCTCTTGTATCCGTAGCTGGCAAAGACCCAAGGGAATGTGTTTGCCACAGATGCCATTCTGGCCACACTGATGAGCTGCACTCGTTCTGTCTATTCCTGGGACATCATTGTCCAGAGAGTTGGATCCAAACTTTTCTTTGACAAGAGGGACAACTCCGATTTTGGTGAGGGAAAAAAAGGCCTGAAAGACATTGCTGTTGTGGTAGCTAAAGAGTCTGGTTTTCTTTATGGGTTTTTGAGTTTATTCTGTCTTGGTGTAAAGATTGGAAGAAGATTATTATTGTGCTAGCTGTGGGGGTAACTTCAGTATTGATCCGTTCTAGTGTGGCGTGGGAGACTTGCTGAAGCCGACATATTTACTCCCCCAAATATAACTACTTGCATCTGGTTTTCTTCTCAGACCTCCTGACAGTGAGTGAAACAGCCAATGAACCACCTCAGGAAGAAGGCAACTCCTTTAATTCTCCACGCAACCTTGCCATGGAAGCTACCTACATCAATCATAACTTCTCCCAGCAGTGTCTGAGGATGGTAAGGTTAAACAGTGCTGCGTAATAGGGTCTCAGAGAGTCTTGGGAAGAGTCTTCATTAGGGCTGCTGTAATACAGCACAGAAGCGTTTTTTTTAGCTGACAGAGGTATGTTACACTGATGCTCTTTCCATTTTGAAAGAGGTGCGATTACTTCAGGTGATTAGTGTGACTTCACTGTAGAAAGATTTTATACCTTTATTTCACAAAGAAGAAATCCCACTCCCACTAGTGAAGCAGGCAGGCTTCTGAGTACACTTAGTGAAGCTGAAGTGCCAGTAGAAGTGCTGCTTACAGCGAAGTGACTAATGTGAAGATGAGGCTTCTCATCACCTGTCTTGGTATTTCAGCACTTTTCTATATAAAGGAAATCATCTACTGTTGCTGTAAGAGAATTTTTATCCAGTAGGGGAGAGCTCCCTCAGATGTTTGTGTTTTTTTTTTTTTTTCCCTAACATGCACTTCGGTTTTCTTCTGCAGGGAAAGGAGAAATACAAGTTTCCCAACCCAAACCCCTTTGTGGAGGATGACATGGATAAAAATGAAGTAGCCTCTGTTGCATACAGGTGTGTTGATCTCTCTCTGATGCCTGGGTTTGGCAAGGGGGTAGGATGTCAGTGTGATACGGAGGCAAAATAAGCCAGGAGTGTTACTGGTAGAAGCTTTACCATTAGAGGGATTCTTGGATGTAAGCACAGTGAACAAATAGAGGAGGAAAGGATGAGTGCTTGCATGGATCCAGAAAAAGAGCAAGAGACAGAAATAACCAGCTGGATTGTTTGTTGGCAGATACCGAAGGTGGAAGCTGGGAGATGACATAGATCTCATTGTCCGCTGTGAACATGATGGAGTGATGACAGGAGCAAATGGAGAAGTGTCTTTCATCAACATCAAAACACTGAACGAATGGGATTCCAGGGTGAGGAAGAACGAGATCCCAAAGCTAGCTCTAACTGCTTCACTGCTGCCTGACGTGCCAGGTACAGCAGGCAAGATAAGACAAACATCTGGCGGTGTCCCCCGGGTGGTTACCTTCCACCAAAGGCCCATAACATTGGTGGACAAGCAGTGCTGATGGGATTCTCCCTGAGATGTGAGGTAGCTGGTTTTGAAGCATCTTGTCCCGAGGTGTTTGGCACAGAAGCCAGTCTCTTCCCGTGCTTCCCTTGTGAACGCTTCCCTCGCAAACTTCCCTTCCTAACCATTGCCACAAATGCTGGCCAATCCCTGCTGGTTGCTTTTCTCTCTTTTCTGTGCAAGGGCTTTCCCTGTAAGTTGCTGTTGGCATTCCCTCTTATGGTGTCATAAGGTAGACAAGAAACTTCCCTGTGTGATGTGAAGCTGGCTGAAGAGGTGACTGCTGCTGGCTCGTTAGGTTGACCCTGGTTTTGGTTCTCCTCTCAGTATTGCAATGGAGTAGACTGGCGCCAGAAGCTTGACTCTCAGAGAGGAGCTGTGATTGCCACAGAGCTGAAAAACAACAGCTACAAATTAGCCCGCTGGACGTGTTGCGCGCTGCTGGCTGGATCAGAATATCTGAAACTCGGGTAAGATGAGCCTTTTCACAGCAAACATCTTCCAGGTGTGTTTTCCATGATTTGACCCAGCGTATGTCAAAGTGAACCATTTGTAGAATGAGTAATCGAAAAATCACCCCACATGTTGAGTGGGGAAGAGGGGAAAGTTTGCAGTGAGCACACCAGCCTCGGTCTAAGCTGCTTCCCCTCAGCATCTGGCTGATGTGTCTCCTGCTTTGACTGACCTGATGAGACCTCACACATGACGGGCAGGTGGCCTCTGTGGCTCTCAGCCTGTCTACTGAGACTGCCAACATGGGAAATAAAAAGAGTGACTGTGCTGCCCCTCAGGATTTTGATTGAGATCCTGAGAAATCGGGTGGAAGGGAGGTATCACTGCAGTACTTTCCTGAACTATTGGTGTAAATTAGTTGAGTCTGTGCTGCAGATAATGAACAAGAGATTTGCTAACTCAGTTCTGCTAGTTCTGCAATCCTAGGTTCTGTCCTCAGGTACGGGACTGATGCATTTGCATGTGTTTAAGTCCAGACTCCCTGCTGTTGCTAATTTTTATCAGTGGGACTAATTCTTCTCTGCCTTTTGTACCACCTCATCTGATTTGGGAAAGTGATAGGTTACTGATTGACAGCTCGTAGCCAAGAGAGATCCTCTTAGCTTTCAGTGTTGGAGTCCTGGGATTTTTCAGCCCATAACCAAACTCACGACAGTGCTTTTCTTGGTATCGTTCTTCTGCTGGTTGGGCTTAATCTCCTGATGCCCCTCTGGTTTCTTCTTACCCTCCCTAGGTATGTATCACGTTACCACGTGAAGGACTCTGCCCGCCATGTGATCCTGGGCACGCAGCAGTTCAAGCCCAATGAGTTTGCCAGCCAGATCAACCTGAGCATAGAGAACGCCTGGGGCATCCTGCGCTGCGTCATCGACATCTGCATGAAGCTGGATGAGGGGAAGTACCTCATCCTGAAGGACCCCAACAAGCAGGTGATCCGGATCTACAGCTTGCCTGACGGCACCTTCAGCTCTGATGAAGATGAGGAGGATGAGGAGGAAGAAGAGGAAGAGGAAGGTTCGTAGCGTACTCAGTGGTTTATGCTTTTAAAGTGATCTGCTGGTCTGGATGAAAAGGGGTGACCTGTGATAAAGACAGAGATCTAAAGGGTGAGATGTGACTAGGGATAAGAGAGGAGTGAGGCTGGAGAATGGGTGGTCCTGAGGATGGGACTCGGTGGTGGAAAAGGTGAGTGACATTGTGACACTGGGAGCAAAAAGAGCTGGGAGTTGGAAATACATATGTTGTGCCTCTGGACTGATTTTTAGCAGGGGTGGGGAGAGGATCCAGATCCAGAACACTGAGTGGGAAAGTGGAACTTCTCCAAAGAGCCCTTCATTCCTCGTCCCCAGGATCTGGGGCTGGGTGCTGGTTTCTGTTGGTGCTGGGATGGTTTTGCACTACAGGTTTAGAAATGGGAGTGACTGCAAGGTGACACACTTAAAATCTGTGGTGGCCTGGTCCAGCTGAGGTGACTCAGTTGGAGGCTTTTGTAAAGCAGTTGAGCCATGGCTGAGGGATAGGTCTGGGAGCTCCAGAGAACCAGCACTGTCCCCATTCCCTGTCCCAGACCTACTCTGAGCACCTGCTCTGCCCGGGGTGGGAGAACGTTTACCCTGAACGTTTCTGTGACACAAAAAATATCTTCCAGACTTTTGGGGGTGTTTTTTTATTTTTTTAAAGGCTGTAAACTCAACCTGGCCTCTCTGGTTTTTATTATGGAAGTTTTAGGTCGCTGAGTAATTTCCTCAGGAATGTAATCCAGCTGCCTGGGTGGGAGGCTGGGGGGACGTAGAGGCACATGGCCGGGGCTGGGGGGGACAGCCCCCACGTCCGGGGCTGGGTTTCCCTGCTCTCTGCTCCCGCCCTGGGGCGGGGATTTTGGGGCGATTTCGTCTGTTTTTTGGTTCCGCAGGTCCCATCGCTTCATTCCCCTTTCTTTTCTCTTGCAGAGGAGGAGAGCTGAGCCCCGCGGAGCAGCCACCCCCACACCTTCTACCCGTCGCGGGGGGGACGCAGGCGGCGGTGGCGGCGCCTGCGGCGGTGGCGGCGCCTCCGGCTCTGGCCTTGCTGCGGATACGTCATAATGGGGCGGAGAAAGCAGAATAAAGTGGC